AAGATATTCATTTCTGTCTTTCTTTCTAAAATGAAATATCGACCTTAAGTTTTCTTCACAGTCAACTTGGATTTGTGATTCGGTCATCCACGGGCTAACGCACCCCTCGCACAGAAAAAGATCTCACGTAAGCAGCGAACGATAAACGTTCTTGTGTGTGTTTCTAAGTAGTTGCTTGTTTGTAACGAGAAGTCTTATAAAAACATTTGTTTCTCATAATTCATTATATTCGATAAACGAGTTGTAATGAGTTTAATAAATAAACTAATTTCCGACGTAAACATATGTATGTGTGTGTGTGTGTGTGTGTGTGTGTGTGTGTGTGATTAATGAAGAAACTTTATGAGATGCACAAGGAGCATTAATATTAGCATTTTGGGGTTTTGTGCATCATAGAAAAATTTCGCAAGATGGCCTTTACGATCGCAAATTGAATATTTATAAATTTTGCTATACAAGTGTGTGTAGTGTACTAGTACAAGACTTAGCATACAAGTTCATAAGTTTTTTATTGTTGTCAATGCATTTATTTAGGGTTGAATCTAAACAGATATACGGTTTTTCACATGATCCAACTCATCATTAGGCACAATCACATTGACATTAGAAGTAGAACAAACATGATTAATTTTGAAGGAATTAAATTCATTCCTAATTGTTTCTACCTTTAACATGACATCATTTTTCTTATTTGATAAGTTAGCAATTTCTAATTTTAATTTTTTATTGCTATCTTTATAAGTCACATTTTCTTTAGCAATGATATCAAATTATATTGCTAACAAATCATGATCAGATTTTAAATTTACATGCTTGTTTTTTAAATCTACAAAATTATGATGCAATTTACTATATGCATGCATTAATCTCTCATATGCACATGTGAGTTCATTAATAAAAAGTTCACTTTCAAAATCGGACTCGCATACCTCACTAGGGCTATCGCCTAGTGGCCATGTGCATAATAATGCTCCAATCGTACTTGAAGAGGAATCCACCAATACATATTGGATCTCCTCTAAGTTACCTTGATGTGCTTCTATAAATTTCCACAATTTGTAAACACTATCAAAATGAGCAAGTTTGTTAGAAGTAGATGGTTCAAAAGCTTTAAGAAAAAATTCTAACAACAACTTGTTCATGGTAAACATCGTTTTATCATTATTACTCAATTTGGATTTCTCCAAAGTGGGTACAGTATAAGCATAATCAATTATTTTTCATAAATCGATATGTTTAGATCTAACAAATATCCAAAGTGGGTACAGTATAAGCATAATCAATTATTTTTCATAAATCGATATGTTTAGATCTAACAAATAGTTTAAATCTAACACACCATTGAGTAATCAATTATTTTTCATAAATCGATATGTTTAGATCTAACAAATAGTTTAAATCTAACACACCATTGAGTATAAGGGAAATTATTAAATTTTGGAACAATATCAATAGCATAACCTAAACTAGGTGCATCGTGCATATCCATGATATAAATATAAGCAAGATAATCACAAAACTAGATTAGCAAATTTGCAAAGCGAGGATCTTTGACTCTAGGCGATTAAATCATGAGTCAATAGCACCAAGCTCTGATACCAATTGAAAGTACCATAGAGGAGGGGTGAATAGAGTAATTGCTAATCTAATCCAATTGTGATGTCAAAATAAAACTTCTAATGCAATATCCTAGGAAATATAATATTCAATGAGATATGCAAGGATAAGGAATTATATAATAGGTGATATAAACAATGAGATAATGGGCTATATACAAATAAGCGCAAGATGAAAAGAAAACAGTGTGCCAAAGAAACACAATCGCAAACAAACAAGAATTGTTCACGGATTTCGGTCAACCCACGACCTACGTCTCTGCTCCTCATCTCGATGAGATCTACACTATCAATCAAGATAACTACACAATCGGTTTTTAAAGCTCACCGAAAACAAAGAGATGTATAAGAATAAATTATGGTTGAACTCCTCAAATCCAAAATTGAAAGTCTTCTCTTTGTGAAACTTTCTTCACATAAACAAACACACCAAAACTTAGAAATAAACTGGTGCAAACCCTCTTTTAACTCTTGTAAAAATTCTATATAAAAAGTAAGGCTTGAGGGGTATTAATACCCTCAATAAACAAAGCTCAACAACAACTAGCCGTTACATAAAATAGTACTGATCAGTCGACTGGTGAAGATAATCTGTCGACTGATGAGTTAGTCGTTACTATAACGGAACACTTATCGGTCGACTGATGAGAAAAATTGGTCGACTAATACACTGTGTTCGGTCGACTAATTTTCCTGATCAGTTGACTGAAAAGTCTAAAAACTTCAGGTGCTGGAAAATCCTACCGGTCAGGCGACCGGTTGACATGCGTCGGTCAACTGATTAATATGTACAACACATATTTTTGCTGAAAACCTGGTTTTCTAAAAACAATTAAAAATATTAAATCAACTCAAAAAATAGTAAAACTTGGGAAAATGTTTATACATATGAAAATAATCATGTTAGAGAAGAAATTTTTGAAATATTATTTCCCATTTGTGAAAACTTATTGTTTTGCAAAATGTTTAAAATATGAGTTTGTTAAATACTTGATTTTGGCAAAATGATTTCAAGCAAGTTTGGAAATCTTTTTGAATAGATTAATAGATTTTGGATACAACGTAAAATAATATTGTTTAGTCTATAATCCAAAATCACAAAATATAAAATAATATGTGTGTATATGAATAATTTGAACTTTAAGTATAAACACACAAAGTATAAACACCTAAACTAATATACCCAAGCTAAATGATCTCGAGACGCTTGATCTTGGGCGATCCTCCTCTTGGTAAAAGGGATGAAGCACAAACTCGTATATGACTTGAATTGTGACGGTTTCATTCCAATTTCACCATCCTCCAAGATATCATCATTACGCTCAATTCCATTCAACCTGGATTGCATATAGGAGGAAAACATAAATACTAGAAACCACGATTAGAAAACTATTTATTAATCATCAAGACAAGATTAGACAATAGGCTCATAAACATGAGATCTAACATCGAAGGCTTCAGCTGCCCTGGATGCTGCCTTATAAGCTCGAGCTTCCTCCATGTCCATGTACTCGTAAGCTTTCGTCATCTATTGTTCGTAATTGGCGACTGGCTTCTTGGCTAATGAGTTGGCCAGTTCATTGTTTTGCAGGCCAACTATAAGGTAGACACAACGATTGAACTCCCTTGGTCATTAACCTCCAGCCACATCACCTGAAACCTCTTGAAGTAGGCTCAAAGGCTCTCCCTAGGCTCCTGTCTCATCTGTATCAATACATTAAAAGGCAACTTCTGCTTGGTGTCGACCAAGAAGTGGTGGATAAACTTTCGGCTTAGTCGTTTGAAGCTGCTGATGGACTTCTTCTCGAGGGCGTTCCACCAGAGCTTGACGCTCCTTGACAAAGTAATAGGGAAGCACCAACAAATGATCGCTTTGGACTTCTAGAGCATGCTCATCATATCATAGTAGTTTTGGACATGCTCGGTGGGGTCTCCTTCGCCCTTGTTCTTCTCCATGTGGGTCATCTTGAATTTCTCACATGGAGCGTTCATGATATCGTCGGTAAGGGGTGTTCCCGCCGATGGCTTTGGCGACAGGTCGGTACACCTTATCATATCCCGACACGCTACGGGTGGCTGAGCGGACTAGAATAGCATGCTAATGATGGAGAGTCTTTGACATTCCTCCCGTGGCGTGTTCCTTATGGCGACTCGGGCCGGAGCTCTCGCCAGTGGCTTCTACGTGCTAGGGGAGACGTCGACGAGGATCCGCTTGGCGGGTAGACTGGTACGGCGGCGAGGTTCCGTGCTTGATGCAATCCCTTCGCTGCTTGGCGGCAGCATGAGGAGTCTAAGGTGGGACCACTTGCTGCGCCTCTAAAGTGGGATGAGTCGCTGAGCGCTGGTCACCTGAGAGGGGAGGAATAGCGGAATTAGCTTGTTGTAGTGGTGGGAACTGGCTGAGGAGCTCACTGTTGAAGGTTGTGAGCTGCTGTTAGAGGGAATGAGAGATCTTCTGAGCAGTCTCCTCGAGTTAGGCTTAGGTGACATAACCCTGATGCGGTCCTCTAGGGGTGGATGAATCAACCCTTCGCTCATAACAATACATGCTTGCTCAAAAATGAGAGAAGACCCCACGGTGGGCGCCATACTATTGATGGCTTATAATCACATAGCTAAATTAGTCGGAATAAGGTTGATCATGGCCGTTAACTTCTGCAAATATATGGTTTTGAGTAGAGTTGTTTTTCCTTGTGTGTTCAACAACTCGTAAAAGAGGGGCACTGTACCAATAAGATAGAAAACACCATAACAGTATTGTATCGGCAAATAGTGTCACTGTACCAATAAGATTCAATAGGATTTTATGTAGAAAAACAATATACTAGTCCAAGCATTTTGCCTAAAAGAGGGGCTGTTTGGTTCACCCATTTTTTAATTAATGGAGAGAAATATGAAAGATGAATGTCTGAAATGTCCAAAAGTTTTTTCGGCTATTTTCTATTCCTATGTTTTGTTCAAATTGAGATTACAAAAATAAGTTTATATAAAGTGGAGCAAGTGAGAAAGTTTTATGGAAAGTCGCATCCTCTTGATTTGGTAGCAAATTGGGTGGAATTTTGATTGCCATACTTCTTTCTCTCTCTCCTCTCATATTTTTTCACTATTAAAATTTGCCTCATCGCATTTCTATAAATGCTCTTTTCCCATTTTCTACCCATGGAAGCGAAAATAAGAGTCCACATAAAATAGCGCTTCATCAGTCTTTTCTGATTCTTAAAAAGAAAATTGCTGGAAAGGGTTGGGAAAACCTTTTTAGAATCCTTTTTTTTATTCCTTTTCTTTTACAATACGAACCAAAGAGGGCCCTAGTCCAAGCCCAAGCCCAATTGCGTTGTCAGCCCACTGCGTCTCTGCTGGGTTCAGATAAAAAAACCAGCACTTCATCTTCCTCCATATTCCTCTTTTGGTTTGAGTTATCCCAGTTGTGACTTAGTAAGAGCGAGAGGAAGGAGTATGAGGGTCGCTGCTCTTTCGACCTGCGCAATTTCTCCTTTGGCTTTCAAACCCAAGGTTCGATCTTATTCCTTTCTCTTATTTTATTTTATTTTATTTTCTCTCAAAAATTATTGACCTCCGATTGCATTAACCAGGGTTTTGGCATGCATTAACGATATAGTCAACTATAGAGTTCAATCCAAGCTATTCCCCTAACCATAATTTGATTATAGTCACCGCCCGATATCATCTTAGGAACAAATCCCAACTTAAACCCTAAAACCTGTACTTGAAATTCATTATTTAGACTTTTATAACTTTATTGTGAGGCATGTATTTCCAATGCAATTTAATTGAAAAGAAGATAATAATTGGCGGGAAAAGCTTCAGGATTAGTATACTTTGACCTTGTCTCTATCATAAACACCGACGTAAACACCATCAAAAAATTTATACACATGGTCACAGATTGGGTAGAACTGTTACTTGCTACAGTGGTAAACCCAATTGTTTGAGTAGATTGATAAAAGAGAAGAGATAGTGGTTACATAGAAAGAGGAGAAGAGGTGGAGGGGGGTGGTAAGAATGCATCCCTTACTGAGCTGCAGTTAGGATAGATAGAAGAGAAGAGGTGGTTATTTTAGCACAGAGAAAACGCGGACGTAGATTATCCTTCAATTTCTTTTTTGAAGCCAACATCTTTTTCTCTCACCATATTGGTAGCAACATTTGCTACAGTTTTTTATTTACAAGTTGCAAGTTCATTTACCATTTCTTTCTGAATGCAACGTTGCAAACCAAACACTGTATTTACAAACTCGGCTTGCTGCATTTCCATCTAACCAAACAACTCTGAAAATATAACTGGTAGCATGTGGGTACTACTTTAGTTTTTAAAAGCAGCAAAAACAATAGCCTTCCTCACCATTCTATGTTTGAACATGTTACCTAACCCTCTAACGTCTCAGAAGATGCATCTTATTAATGATCGAAATCAAAGAAGAAGAAAGAACAGATTTTGAGGGGGGCTCCGATAATGGGTAAGGATTTGATTTATGTTTTTCTTCGTTGTTGTTTCTGAAGGAGATCGACCTTCCTTTTATAGGGGCTAACCCCATTATCTCCACCCCCTCAAATTCGCCCCTTGAGAGAGATTCTCTCAACAAACCACGTTTCCACGTTCTTCTCAACAGAGAAACGAACGTTGATTTGGTCATTAATGACCGAGTCAAGCTAACATCTCCCACTTGACCAAATCAACCAAGTGATATGCCTCTCACTATCAGTGAGATCAGATGTTTATGCTTACCATTACCCCCACTATCCGTAGAGAGTAACTCTTATATCATTATTCATGAAATTTTACTTGGACTTATTTATTCCTAAGTCCCATCAAGCTTACATGTTTGATAAAAGATTCTGCTGGTATTCTTTTTGTCAAAGGATCAGCAATCATATCTATAGTAGGGATATAAGTCACTTTGACTTCTCCCTTTTCTATAATATCTCGAATATAGTGATATTGGATCTCAATATGTTTTTCTTTGGAGCTATTCGCGTCACTATTGATTAAGTTAATTGCTGCTTGATTATCACAATAAATATCAATAGGTCCTTCTAACAAATTGAGATCAAGATCAATCAAAAACCGTCTTATCCAGACAGCATTTGTAGTTGCCATACTACAAGCTATATATTCAGCTTCTTGCGTATATCTAGCAACACACCCTTGTTTATTGCTACTCCAAGAAACATCTCCTCCTCCAAAGATGAATAAGTGTCCCGAAGTGAACTTTCCATTATCTTTATCACCTCCGAAATCAGCATCGGAATAACCGAGGAGTTCAAGCAAATCAGCTTGATAAACTAACCTATGAGTCAATATACCTCTGATATACTTCATAATCCTTTTAACAGTTTTCCAATGTGCTGGTCCTGGATTACTTTGATATCGACTAGCTAGACTCACAGCATAAGCTATATCAGGTCTGGTGCACAACATTACATACATCAAGCTTCCAATTGCTTGAGCATAAGGAACATCTAATGGCTTCTGCCCCTCTTCAGAGCTTTGCTCTTTACATAATCTCTTTCACATAACCAACGGAGTTAGTGTCGGATTGGAATTCTCCATTCCAAACCTTTTAAGAACTGATCTTAAATATTTTTCTTGGTTTAAACTTAGCATTCTAGACTTTCTATCTCGAATTATTTGAATTCCAAGAATATATGATGCATCTTCCATGTCTTTCATCTCAAACTTTTCGCTAAGATCTGTCTTGGTTTTATTCAACATTTCTATGTCATTTCCAGCGAGCAGTATATCATCCACATATAAGGATAATATAGTAAACTTGCTCCCACTTTTCAAGACATATACACAATTATCTAATTTATTTTGAATAAAACCAAGTTTAGTAACTGCATCATAAAATTTGAGATATCATTGTCTAGAAGATTGTTTTAAACCATATAGAGATTTTATTAATTTGTAAACTTTATGTTCCTGTTCTTTCACCTGAAAACCTTCAGGTTGTTGTATATATATTGCTTCCTTCAACTTTCTGTTAAGGAATGCAGTTTTAACATCCATTTGGAATAATTCCAAATCAAGATATGCAACAATAGCCAAAATAATTCTAATGGATGCAAATTTAGCTACATGAGAATATGTCTCCTGAAAATCTATTCCTATCTTCTGGTTATATCCCTTGGCAACTAACCGTGCTTTGAATTTATCAATAGATCCATCAACACGATATTTTTTTTGAGCACCCATTTGCATCCTATGGCTTTTCTATTTTCTGGTAGATCACATAACTCCCATACCTTATTCTTTTCTATGGAATCAAGTTCTCTCATAGATTCTAGCCATAAAGTTGATTCATGTGATTTCATCGCATCAGAAAAGGTTAAGGGATCTTGTTCTTCTACATTTGTATCTACAGAGAAACATGATGGCTCACATGAATACAAATAGTAATCATTCATCCATGAAGGTTGTGTTCTTGGTCTTTTGTTGCCTACAACCGATTGATTAGGTACATTATTTTTCATATGTATTTTATCATTTTTAATGTTAGGTTCATTCACAATATCAGGATCATTAGTGGGAACAACACTGTAATAATCATCATCTATTACAGTTAGAGGTTCTGTTTCCTCTTAAACTATTCTTCTTCCTCTAGATTCTCTAGAAATGTAGCATCTCTGTTTTCAATTATTCCTTTTTCTTTATTGTAGAACTTATAACATTTTGACTTTTCTGAATACCCTATGAATCTACACTTTATTATTTTAAAATCCAACTTATCTCTAAGTTGACATGGAATGAGAACATGGGCTATAGATCCCCACTTCCTGAGATGACTCAAATTAGGTTTTCTCCCATTTCATAATTCATAAGGTGTAGATACAACTGATTTGGTGGGAATTCTATTTAAGATGTAGTTTGTAGTTAATAATGTTTCTCCCCAAAAATTTTTAGAGAGACTAGAATGAGACAACATGCATCTAACTACATTAAGTAATGTTCTGTTTTTTCTTTCAGCAACACTATTCTGTTGTGACGTACACGACATTGGTGTATTTCTTTTAATTCCATGTTGAACACAATAACTCTCAAATTCTTTAGAGTTATATCCCCACCTCTATCAGTTCTCAAAATTTTGATTTTCAATCCAAATTGGTTTTCAACTTCTGTCTTATATCTCTTAAAGCAGTCAAAAGCTTCTAATTTTCTAGATATAAGATATACGTGTGCAAACTTAGAATAATCATCTATAAAAGTAATAAAATATTCTTTATTACTTTGAGTTTTTACACTTAGGGGACTACAAATATCCGAGTGTATCAACCCTAAAAGTTCATTGGCTCTCTGTCCGCCAATAAAAGGTTTTCTAGTTATTTTATCAGTTAAACAATATTCACATGGTGGCAATTGAACATTAGATAGTGCAGGAAGTAAGTTCATTCTGATAATTTCTTTTATTTTTGAAATACTAGCATGTCCTAATCTAGAATGTCACAATTCAGACTCAGAAAAATAACAGGACAAGTAGTTCAAATTCGAAATTTTATTATCAGAATTATTACAAACTACTGGAAGGATGCATAATTCATGCTCGGGCATATATTTTCCCATAACATACACTTTATTATTCTTGTCTATAGAAACCTTGTTATTATAGAACTTAACTTCCAGTCCTTTCTTCATCAAGCTGGGAATAAAGATCCGATTACGTCAAATTCCTGGCGCATAGAACATATCTTTGAGAACAAGAATACTGTCCCCAAGATCTAATCTATACGAACCAATACCTTCTACATCGAGATATGTATTATTTCCCATATAGATTCTCTGTTCTCCTTTCTTAAGCTCGGCGAATTCTATGACTCCTTTCTTATCATTTGCAATATGCCTAGTTGCACCGGAGTCGATCCACCAACCACTGATATCCGTCATCACAGCATTACATTCCGTCACACCGACGAATTCTCTTTTGCTAGTACCTCCTTGTTCTGAATGCTTATAGCCTCCCTTATTCTCCTGCTTTTCACCTTGTGGGCAATTAGGCTTGAAATGCCCGAACTTTTCACAATTGTAACAGGCTCCGCGGCGTACTTTCTTTCTCTTGAACTGCTGTGACTTCGGTCCTCGCGGTTGTGATTTACTAGGACCAGGGCTTTTATAGCTTACAATATTATGCCTCTGGCGGACATAATTCAGCTCCTGCTACACCATATTCAGTTTTGGTTCCTTCCTACTGGCTATTAAGTCATGTTCTATCGCTAGGTACATAGGAAGATCAGTGACAGACTTAATGGCATGATTTATTCTTAATGTGGTGGTAGCCACAGCAAGTGAAGGGGGAAGACTATTCAAAACGGTTGCCACTTGCATTTTTTTCAGGATTTTGATCCCAGCAGTAGATAAGTCCTTAGCCATGACAATCATTTTACTTATATGCTCTACGATGTTGTCTCCCTCTTGCATACGACAAGAATTATACTTATGCAAAAGGAGTTGGTTGTTAACTTCAGAAGCAATGTCGTATTTTTCTTTTATTGCATTC